AAGAAATGAAGAAAGCTTATGGGACAACATCAAAAAAGCAAATATTTGGGTCACTGCAGTTTAAGAGAAAGTAGAGAAAGACAAAGGGACAGAAAGCTTATTTAAATAAATAATAACAGAAAATTTTCCAAAACTGAAGAAAGCAATACATATCCACTATAGGAAGGTCAAAGTTACCAATCAGATTAATCTAAATGACACTGCCTTAAGACATACTATATGCAAACTCAAAAGTCAAAGACAAACAAAATCTTAAAAGCAGCAAAGCGGCAAGAGTAAAGAGGCAAATAACATAGAAGGAAGTTCCAATATGCTTGGCAGCAGACTTCTAAGCAGAAATTCACAGGCCAGGAGGGAGTGCAATGAGTCAAAGTACTGAGGGAAAACAGTTGTGACATCCAAAGTTAGAACACAAAATACTCAAAAGGTGGAGGGAGATAAAGTGTTGAGTTTGTTTAGTAATCAATGATACCTGTTATCAGTTTAAAATAACCTGATATATTGTAAGACTTTTTCTTGTAAGCCTTTTGGTAACCACAAAAAAACTATTAATAGATACACTAAAATTAAAACATATTATAAGAGAAAATCATTTGACCAAAAAGGAAGACAGTGAGAGAAGATGAAATATTTAAAAAACAAATAGAAAATAATTAGCAAAATCGAAGTAGTAATTTCCTACCTATCAATAGTTCCTACCTATCAATATAAATGGACTGATTCTCCAATTATAAGACACAGTAGTTGAATGCACTAAAAAATCCAATTATATGCTACCTAAAAGAGATTAACTTTACCTGTAAGAATACAAATAGATGGAAAGGAATGGGCAGAAAAAAAGATATTCCATGCAAATTGAAATCAGAAGATAGCAGGAGAAGCTATACCTGTATGAGATAAAATAGACTTTACATCAAAAACTGTAAAAAGAGACTAGGTCATTACATGATGATAAAGGGGTCAATTCAGCAAAAAGTTATAACAATTGTAAATACATATGCACAATGAACATGGGAGAAAATATATAAAGCAAATATTAAAATTCTGAAGGAAGAGAGACTGCAACACAATAATAATAGAGGATGTAAAAACTACACTTTCAGTAATAGACAGATTATTCAGACAGAAAATCAACAAAGAAACAGTAGATTTAAACCGCAGTCTAGACCAAATAGATCTAACTGATGTTTACAGAACATTCCAGCCAACAGCTGAAGAAAACACATTCTTATTAACTGCACATGGAACATTCTCCAAGATAGATCATATATTAGGCCACAAAAACAGTTTTAAAAAATTTAAATTCAAAATTATATCAGTATCTTTTCTAAACATAATGACACAAAACTAGAAATTAATAATAGAATAAACTCTGGAAATATTACAAATATCTAAAAATTAAACATGCTACTGAACCACCACTGGGTTAATGAATTAAAAGAGTAATTTAAAAAAGTTAAGACAAATGGAAATGGAAACACAATATACCAAAATTTATAGGATACAGTAATAGCAGTTCTAAAAGAGAAGTTTATAGTAATAAACACCTACACCAAAAAAGAGGAAAGATCTCAAACTACCTAATCTATTACCTCAAAGAATTAGAAAAACAAGAACAAACTAAATTCCAAATTAGCAAATGGAAAGAATAAAGATCAGAGCAGAAATAAACAAAATAGGGACTTAAAAAAAAATCAACAAAATAAAGAGTTTGTTTTTTTTTTGTTTTTTTTTTTAAAGAAACAAAACCAACAAACCTTTAGCCAGACTAGGTAAAAAGGATAGCTGCCTCAAATAAATAAAATCAGAGATAAAAAGAATAGATATTACAACTGATACCACAGATATACAAAGAATCATGGGACTATTATGAACAATTATATGCCAATAAAATGAAAAACCTAGGAGAAATGAATTCCTGTATCACATTACCTTCCAAGACTGAATTATGAATAAACAGAAAATCTGAACAGGCCACTAATGAGAAAGGAGACTTGAATCAGTATTAAAAAGTCTCCTAACAAAGAAAGGCCCAGGACCTGATGGCATCACTGCTGAATTCTACCAATAGTTACAGAAGAACTAATATCAATTTCTTCTCAAAGTGTTCAAAAAAAGTGAAGATGAAGGAGTTTTTCCTAACTTGTTCTACAAAGCCAGCATTACACTGATACAAAAAACAGACAAAAAAGGAAAACTACAGGCCAATATCCCTGAAGAACAGTCGGAAAAACACTGAACAAAACTATGAAACTGAATTCAACAGGACATAAAAAAGATAATTCACCATGATCAAGTGGGACCCATCCCAGAATATAAGAATGGTTCAACATAAACAAATCAATAAACACAACATACCACATTAACAGAACAATGAAAAAAAAAAAAAAAAAACTGAAATAAATACATTATTCCAAGCTGAGTAAACTTAAGGACAACAGGCATTAAAAGGAATAAAGTGAGGCACATTTTAATACCAAATATTGTCCAGTCACTTAACAAGAATAAACTGAGTTAAATTAGATTATTTAAAGGAATTTTAATGAAATATTGTTGCATTCAAAAAAAAAAAAACTGTAAAATGACTTGAACAGATGCAGAAAAATCATGACAAAATTCAGTATCTCTTCATGATAAAAACTCTTAATTAGGTATTGAAGTGATATGCCTCAACACAATAAAAGCCACATACAACAAACCCACTGCTAACTTAATACCAAATGGGAAAAGTTGAAAACCTTTTACTCTAAGACCTGGAACAGGATAAGGATGTCCACTTTTCCCACTTTTATTCAACATAGTACTGGAAGTTCTAGCTAGAGCTAGTAGCCAAGAGAGAAAAATAAAACATAATAGGAAAGGAGGAAGTTAAATTGTCTCTATTTGTAGATAATATGACCCTATATACAGAAAACCCTAAGGACTCCACCCAAAACTGTTAACAACTAATAAAAAAAAAACTCAGTAAAGTTGCAGGACACAAAATCAACATACAGAAAAGTAGTATTTCTATATGTTAATAGCTAACTATCTAAAAATGACACAAACAATCTCATGTATTACCAAAAAAACACCTAGAAATAAATTGAACCAAGGAGATGACAGATCTCTCAAATAAAAACTATAAAACATTAATGAAAGAATTTGAAGAAGACACAAATGGAAAGACATGTATGTTCATGGATTGGAAGAATATTGTTATAATGTCCATATTGCTCAAAGTGATCCATATGTAATGTGATATCTATCAAAATACCAATGGAATGTTTCACAAAGTAGAAAAAAACAATTCCCACATTTATATGGAACCCTAAAAGACTGTGTATAGCCAAAGCAATCTTGAGCAAAAAGAGCAAATCTGGAGGCATCAAAGCATCTGCCTCCAAAATATATTACAAAACTATAGTAACCAAAACAATTTGCTACTGGCATAAAAACAAACACCCTAATAGAACAGAGAACCCAGAAATAAATCCATGCATATACACACAGTCAATTGTTTTTTGTCCAAAGTGCCAAGAACATATGTTGGGGAAAGGACAGTCTTTCTTCAATAGTGGTGCTGGGAAAAATGAAGAAATATCTGTATGTCGAAGAAAAAAACTAGATCCTGTCTCTTATCATATACAAGAATCAATTCAGAATGAGTTAAGGAGGACTTAAATGTTAAGACTTGAAACTATGAAAATACAAGAAAACAAATAGGTGAAATGCTTCGTAACATTGGTCTGGACAAGGAATTTTTGGGTAACACCTCAAAAGCACAAGCAAAAAGACAAAAAATAAATAAATGGAATTACAACTAAAAGGCAAAGGAAACCATCAATAAAGAGACAACCTATGCAATGGCAGAAATATTTGCAAACTATACATGTGACGACACATGGTTAATATCCAAATATATAAGAAACTCAAACAACTCAATAGCAAAAAACCCCAAACAACCCAGTTAAATAATGGCCAAAAGACCTGAATAGACATTTCCCAAAAGAAGACATAAACATGGCCAACAGATATATGAAAAAAAATGTTCAATATTATTAATTATCAAGGAAATGCAAATCAAAATCACAATGAGGTATTGCCTCATCCCAGTTAGAATGGCTTACCAAGAAGACAGAAGAGAGCTTGTTGGCAAGGATGTGGACAAAAGGGAATCTTTTATACTGTTGGTGGGAATATATAGAAAACAGTATGAGGTTCCTCAAAAAAGTAAAAATAGAACTACCATAAGATCAAGCAGTTCTACTATTGGGTATATATACCCAAAGGAAATTAAATGAGCATGTCCAAGAGATGTCTGCATTCCCATATTTACTGTAGTACTTCCCACAATAGCCAACACATGGAAGCAACCTGTGTCTACTAACAGAAGAATGGATAAAGAAAATTTGGTATATAGTCACAATGGACTATTCTTCACTATTTTAAAAAAAAAAAAAAAAAAGGAAAGAAATCCTACCATTTGCAATATGGATGAACCCAAAGGGCATTATAAACCAGGCACGGAAAGACAAATACTGCATGATCTCACTCATATGCAGGGTCTTAAAAAGTTGATCTCTTAGAAGTAGTGAGTATAATGGTGGTTATCAGAGGCTGGGGCATTTAGCAGGGAGAAGGGGATGGGGAAATCTTGATCAGATGACATAACTACAGTTAGATATCAGGAATAAATTTCAACAGCTCTATTGTATAGCAAGGTGACTATAGTTAATGACAATGTATTGTATTCTTGAAAAATGTAAAATTTGTGGATATTAAGTGCTATCACCACAAAAACAATAACTATGTAAGTTAGTATATTTGTTAGCTAGATTTAACCATTCCACAATGTATATATACTTCAAAACATCATGTTGTACAAAATAAACACATAAAATGTTATCTGTACATTTAAAAAATAAAATATAAAAATGCTTACATTATAGAAAAAAGAGAATGATGCTTCTTTTAAAAGCATGCTTTTAGTTTTAGTTTCACATTTCTGTCTCTCTTACCTCTTGATCTTTTTTAGTTTTTCTTTCTAGAGCCTCAAATTCATCCAAATCATTTTTTTCTTTTAATTTCAATTCCATTTCTTCTTTTTCTCTTTGTAGTTGTTCATAGTCTAATACCAGATTATCATAATTAGCACGAAGTGAGTTCAACTCACTTTCTACATTCTCCTATTATAAACAAGAACAGATTTTCCAATCAGGAAATTCATATAATATATTCTTTGCTTCCTTAACAATGTGTGGATTATTTAAATAACTAATTTAACTTTGATTTAGTATCTTTCTAAAGTCCAAAATTTTGCTAAACTAGCTAACTTAGAATAGATTATTCTGAAAGAATTAGAATTTTTAAAATCTTATCAATAAATTATATGATTGCCCGTGCCTGACAGGGAATTTTGACCATAAATCCTCCAGCTCCACAGTATTAAAACTGATAATTTAATTCCCCAATCTTACTAACTCCTATTTTATGTCTCAGATGCCTCTGAATTCAGGAATGATAACAGAGATATTGCCTATTGACTTCTAAAACTAATGATAGCTATGTTTAACTATACTTAAAGAGGCCTATTTTTACTTTCTATATTACTATGAGAAAGAGATAAATCATGAGTTAAAAGATACTTTTTTACACCAGAGATTGTAAAAAAAAAAACCAAGAATATATGTATTCTAATATATGTCTTAGGAACACAAAAACGCTTTGTCAATAATACTTTACAGGCATAAACTAACAATAATAAGGAGCACTGTAATTATATCTTAAAATTATAATGAAAAATTTTTAATGCATTATACAACTATATGTCTTTAAACACGAGCAATTTACAAAGTAAACATGAAATCTAAACTTACTAATACATTCACCAAAATTAGCTCTCCCTGATGTATTATTATTCTATACAGTATATATGGCTGAGAATTGAAACTTCTAAAATCAAGTCTTTTTAACCTCATGAAGTTTATCAAGGCAAAACAGAAACTTTACAAACATCGTGAATACTAAGATCTGCCAGTAAAGAGCTAGAAGTGAAGGTTTACCTACTAGCACATGTCTGCCTTATGAAAAAATGTTTAGCCTTCCCCTAGATGCCTGATGATTATGCAGTAGATGTGTAAAGAGTGAGAGAAGCCTTCATTAGAGCCAAAATAGTTACTGAAATTAAATGAGAACAAAGAACAACAAAATCTAATAACAAAAGAATTCTAAAAAGAGCAAAAGCATTATATGCTGTAAAATACATTATATGCTGTAAAATTAAGTTACCTGATCTCGTAGCTTTGTTGCTGGATTCCATTCTATCTCACTTAATGTATCAAGAGTGTTACTGAAAACATCAGACTCTGAACAGAGAGCTATAATCAGAGAAAAAAAAATTGTCCATAAACATGTTTACCAAATTTCCTAAGTCAAATTAAGGATTACTATAAAAATTCTTATCAGAGGTAATAAGAACTTCAAATTAACTAATACGTGCTCAGAGTATGAATACTAAAAGTACATTAATAGTTGTGGTCATTTATATTATTGTATGAATTAAGATAATCACTGATTGGAATTAGTGATATAATATAGGATCCCTAATGAAATATAGGTTAAAAGGACAAATTCTGAATTTGAGATTTGATCATTATAAGTAGATTTAAAATCCTCCAAAGAGATTGTAATATTGAAGAAATAATTTTGAAACAGATTCCTACATCAATGCCACTTTTTTAAGATTAGCAAAGGCAGATGCCATATAACAATAATTTAATTGAATCATGACTAGAACAAAAATAAAAACACCTGTTTCGTGTGTTTCAACTAGTACATCATTCTTAAGAGATTCAGAGTTAATAAAGAATTTATGAATGATTACTTTCTATTTATTTATTATTTTGAGACAGAGTTTCACTATTAACTCCCAGGCTGGAGTGCAATGGAGCTCAGCTCACTGCAAGCTCCATCTCCCAGGTTCAAGGGGTTCTCCTGCCTCAGCCTCCTGAGTAGCTGGGATTACTGGGATTACAGGCATCTGCAACCATGCACAGCTATATTTTTTTGTATTTTTACAATTACTTATTTAAATCATAATCTCCATTGTAATCACATCTGAAATACACACTATTTAAATATGTTTATCACATTAACTGAGCTGTAAACATAGTTTCTCTTTATAAGGATTTTTTATAATTTAATGTAGTTCTACTTGAAAAAAACACTCACATTCATCAATTTCTCCTAATAAACTTAAAGAAGGCTTGTGTGTTTTTGTTGTTATATTTGCTGAAAAATTAAATTGATCTTCATAGTTTGAGTTCTTCATTTTGTTAATTTTGCCAAGGCACCAAGTAACTCTTCGTTTTCTTTTAGCCTAAAGAAGAAGAAATCGAAATCATGTCATATAGATCTGTGTTCAAAATAATAAAACAAGGGAACTAGTTTCTATTTTTGAAAACCATTGACTTGGTAGAATTCTTTTTAAGCCAGATTAAAATTTTACTAGTCTAAGGATATTGCTTTTTTTTTTTAATCAAACTCTTGATTCCTTAATTCACCCTAACTACCATTTTCTTTTTTTTTTCCTACTTTGTCCTCCTCATCATTTATCCCCTCCTTCCTCAACACTTCAGGGACCCCTGTCTCCTGGTTCTTACCTTACCCAGCTGGCTGTCCTTACTACTCACTCTACTTTGTTTTCTCTTCTTGTGCCTGCCTCTTAAGTGTTTGTGATGATATTTGTATCAAGTATCATCCTTACTACATCTTTATAACAGATAAGCTGTGTGCCCAACAAGTTTGGAGAAGTTGTATAAGGCTGTATAGCAAATTGGTGACTGAGTCCATGTCTATAACTTCCGAGCCTATCCATACAACATTTCCACCACACTGCCTCTTAAGATTATTTGTTGTCCCCAGAATATACTGCATACTCTTATGCCTCTCTGTGTGCTCTCCTTCTCCTTGAAATGGCCAGCCCTTTACACATCCCGCTCTGCAAAAGCTGTGTCATATATAAATCCTCGACTCCAAAAACCTTCAGTTTAACACCATTTGCTACCAAAGCCACACCTGGACCTTGTCATTATCTGGAAGTCATAAACCTAGACCTCTTGCTCTGAATGCAGTTGCTATCCTTCCAACTCACTGATTTAGTTAATGCCACTATAGCTATTTATCTTATCAGGGGCTATTAAGCTCTATTCCGTTATTGCATGACATTTTTTTTGCCATCTCTCTCTTGGTTCTCACCCTACCATCTTAGATTTCATAGACCATCACTGCAATCATGTTTGAAATCTGAGGTCAATGTTATCAGATTATTTGACCCATTCTCTGCACCCCACAGGGCACAGTCAAATGACATTGTGTTCTAGACCTTTATCAGCCTCCTGAGCACTGCCAGTGCCACAGAGCCAGAAGACTGGCTGAGAAGATAAACTGGATTTTTAATGCTGTGAAGCAACACTCCTCACTCCCTTTCAGCTTTCTTTTTCATACCTACAAAGGCTAGACTATTTCAAACCCTTAGTATCTCTGCAAACTTATCACTATCATCGCCTGCCATCTCAGCAGAAAAATTAAACCTATTTCACAAAGAAAATATAAACCTAAACTCCTAAGAGTGCCACCTGCACAGAGGCCTATCCTTTCCTCTGTGTTTGCTACAATTCAAGAGGTGTCTCTCCTCCTACGTAAGCCCAATTCTTTCTACTACATTCAAGATCCCACCCATCTGGGCCACCTGAACACACTGTAAGGTGGCTTTCACCCCACCACTTAACTCAAATTACTTTTGCAAATGAACTCTGTATTTCTAAATGCAAAGAATTTTTGTCCATCTTGATCTTATTTAACTTCTTAGCACAATATGGCAACTGCTGACCACTACTTCCCAGAAACATTCTCTCCCCTTAGCTACCAAATTCACTAGGTTTTATTCTTCTCTAGAGCTAAACTCAGGCTTCTTTACGGATTCTTCTTTCTTGGCCTTGACCCAACTGGATTTTTCCTTCTGTTACTTTGCCTTCTGTTCCCTTCTCTCAACATGCAACCAGAACAAACTTTAATTTGGATCAGTAGTAGCTCATGCCCAAATTGATATTTATATCTTTCTACCTCATATTCACACATTTGCATTTTACTGCCTGACTTCTCAAACAAAAGAAATCCCAAATAAAACACCCACCATTTCCACTGTTCTTTATTCAGTGTTCCTTAACTCAACCAATATTGTTACCAGCTACCCAGGAAGTCAAGCAACGCTTGCAAGTCATTCCAGACACCTCCTTCTCTCTTTCCCCGCCTCCAACATCCAAATAATTGCGAAGCCCTGCTATGTTTATCTTCCAAACATTTCTCCAATTTATCGAATTTACTCCAACTCCAGCATCACAATCTTTGCAGGCCCAAGCAATCTAATGTTCACAGCAGCTACAACTTTCTCAACTATAATTATGATGCCACATACAAGGCTGTTCTTTGTTGTTAGCGAAATGTCACATTCAAATCCCTCAAAGGGGTTTAAAACACCCCTGCTACTAGAACATCTTAAGTTCAAGGAATTCATCATGTTTCTTCACAACTCCAAGCTTTTGCACACGTAGGTCTAGTCCTGAAACATTTTTCTGTAGGCCATTCATTGGACTATTTCCTGCTCACCACTTAATCAATAATTCTTGATTTTCTTCTGTATATCTAGTATGGTGACTTGTACATAATGCTTATTCATAACACTAATAATGTACATTTGTTGAGAATATGCTGTGTGGAAAGTTCTGTGTTAAGCTAATTCTACCTATTATTTCATTTAATTCTTGCATAACTCTTATGAGGTGAGTATCGAGCTATTCCACACGAAACAGCAGAAAAGTGAATTCAAGAAATTGACCAAGGCCAAGAGTTAGGAAATGACAAATTCAAATCCAGGCAGTCTAGCTCCAGAGGTCATCCTCTTAATCATGACACCCTCACACCCCTAAAAAAAAGTCTATTGAATAAATAAATTCCTACTCAATTAAAAGAATTAAAAACAAACAAACCACACAAACTGTTCACTGTTGTTTTTATCTCTTTTACCAGACTCTACATTGACACAACTATGTAACTATGTTGTTTTATATTCTACATCAATTTTCCTGAGTTTAATATTTCTGTTTAAGTAGAAAACAATATTCTCACATATCCTAGAAACCTGTGGCTTGTAATCACCCAGTTTCTTTAAAATTTATTAAGCAGCATATTGCAAATAAATTATTTAAATACATTCCAAACTTCTTGAATTAGAATCTCTACAGTTGGGAACCAGAAATTGGTATTTTTAATGAATCTCTTAGGTACTGTGAAAACACAAAATGTTCTGAGTTTCTTGAATATACTGTATCAAAGTATAGAAAGTGCATAACTATATAATAAACATACCGAAATACCAATTCGATTCACTGTACATCCAGTTTAAGCTGTCATCTTTTAAATTTTACCTTTAATTCCTGTTGCGACGTGAGGGAAGAAGAGGTCACCAGCATCCGTGTTAAATTTTCAATTTTCTCATTCTGTACTTTCTGAAGCAAATCTTTTTCTTCTAAAAGTTGGGCTAATTGGTCTTTTTCCATTGCCTGAGCCCGTGTCTCTAAAGAAACCTATAGAATGCAATATTGAATTATGTTAATAAATGTGGATAAGTTTTAAAACCTTAAAAGTAGCATAAAAGAATATTAAATTTGTATATGAACTACAAGAATTTTAATTTCACCAAAATAAGAAACTCTAACTGCAGAACACCAAAATTAAGTTACCATAATCAATAATTTCTCAAACTTGCAATAAAATACACATTTCTTCCATGTAACTATTCTATATACCATGTAAAAGACAATGGTGCTGTTAATATAACTCTATGAATTGCCTAAGAAGATACGAATAGGCAGAAGTCACAAAACAAAGACTTGATTCCAATAGTAAAGATAGAGACGTTCTCAGAAGATTACCATCATGCATTTTAGCTCATTTTAAAAAAAGATCATTAACACATGATTTCTACAAAATATGGGACCATGATGGTTAAAACAAACTAAAATGATAAGTAATTATGCTATATTATTAGATTGCTACCTAAGCGTTAGAAGAGGAATTCAGGATAACATGAAAATACAGAAAGTAGTTCTAGTAACTCTGTGTAATTTCTCTTTTTAACCAAATTCATATGTATTTGTGAAAATTTTTAAGAAGTATCTCTGTTTGGCCCATTTGATAATCTCAGATTTTGCCCTTTAAAAATAAAAAAAACAAAATCTAAAATAATTTCAGGAACCAAATCTTACATTTTATAGTAAACTAAACTAAATTTTTTGAGGGGATTTCTTCTTGTTAAAAGTGATTTAAAACAAGTTGTAGCAACTCAGACATTCCAGAAATAAGAGTCTCTGAGCACTTGGGCAGGTCTCCATTCTTAACTGGTTCCTTCTATTTACTGAAATAAATGGTTCATACATACCTCCTCTAGTTGTTTTTTAAGATCCATTATTTCTTTTCTATACCTTTTCAGGAGAGCTTCATCACTTGATACCTCATTAACATAAGGAGTATTCTTCATATATTTAGCAGTACTGGCAAACTGGAAAAAAATGCAAAAGTGCTAAGTGTCCAACACTAAAAAAAAATATAATTTAATTAATAATATTTAGCTTTCTCATATTCAAGTGAAAAAAAATCAATACTCTTTCCAGTTGGCTTAATATTTTTGAACAAAGAGAACATTCTAAGTCCCTATAACAATGCTCTGTAACTTACCCTGGCTAATAGTCTTCAGGAGAATAAAAAAGGTATCTTGAGAGAACTTAAAAACATCAGCTTATTGGAATCCAATTTACCCCTCAAGGTCCAGTGCTAACACTTCCTCTACTCTGAAGTTTTGCTTCTAGCCAAAAATGTCTCTTCTTCTTTTAAACTCTATACTAGTTACCAGTTAACTACTAATCAAAGGCAATTATGTTGCAAGACAAGTGTTAATTGCCTTGTCACAGAATTCATTAATTCTGTTAAGCCAGGAACTCTAGTTTCTCTTTGCACCTCTGACAGTACCTTGATCTGGTACTCAACAGCTATTTAAAGCAATGTTTCTCAGAGTATAAGTACCATAAGTAACTTTAGGTGGTACATGACGGTGACCATTAGATAACACTGAATCCTTCATTGAGAAAGCTACCCCTATTGACGTTTCTCATTTTTCCTTTCCTTTTTTTTTTTTTTTTTTAAGACGGAGTTTTGCTCTTATTGCCCAAGGGTGGAGTGCAAAGGCGAGATCTCGGCTCACCACAACCTCTACCTCCCAGGTTCAAGCAATTCTCCTCCTGCCTCAGCCTCCTGAGTAGCTGGAATTACAGGCATGTGCCACCATGCCCAGCTAATTTTGTATTTTTAGTAGAGATGGGGTTTCTCCCTGTTGATCAGGCTGGTTCTTTTCCTTTTTAAAACACAAAATGTAGGCCTTAGGCTCAGAGCGAATGAAGGCAATAGTTAACTACCAGGAGTTTCAGAATTATTTTGTTATACAGACAGACACACAATTTTTTTGTTACCTTCTATTTGTGGCAAGTAACAATAGTTTGTCATTGATAGGACTGATATTAAAGTTTCCTTTTACAATAAATTAAGTACAAAAAGTGAGTAATTTTTAAAAAATTTCAAGTCAATTTCAATAAAATATTGTTGGATGTGGCAAAAATGGTGAAGGTAAGATACAAACAACTGAAGTGTGGAAAAATTAAATTAAGAAATGCTATTTAGTAGACAACAGGTATGCTAATTGATTACAACAGGTAGGCTAATCAATTTAAAAAGCTACGACAATTTTAGTAGGTAATTTTTTCTTCTTCAAGTTGATCTTCTCCCATATTAAGTTGAGGTAAAAATCAAACTCACCTGGAGAGTAGTAAGGGTTTCATCGAAAGATACTGGAGTAATTGTGCAGATAATACGTGTCTTTGCATTTCCTCCCAAGGAATTCTGGAGAATTCGTGTTAACTTGCTATCTCGATAATTTATGAAACCACTTAGTAAGGAATAAGTTTATGGGAGAAAAAGATTGAAAATGTTTATATAACAAAGTAGTTGGTTTTTAATGCAAAACAAATCAGCCACAGTTTCAAAAATTAGTTCTTTACAGATTTTATGAGGCATATTAAAACTACTAAATAAAGCATATTTAAAATAGAAAGTAAATTCAGTAGACTATAGCCATATGTATAAGCTTTTGAATATATGGAAGAAATCAGTACATTTTAGTGTCAATGAAATCTTGCAATTTTCAACCTAATGAAAAATATAAAAATTAGTAGGTAAGTGCACAACAGGATAAACTTACCCAACCTGTCCATCACTAAGTTTCTTGATCACTTGTCCCAAAATAAATAAGCTTCGATTTATATTACAGCCTTCCTTAAGCCGCACACCTGAATTAAACAAATATGAAAACTAAACTTGTCTCCTTTTCTAGATGATAAATTTATTTATCACTCAGTTAATGAGAGAAATTAGAGGGCAGATGCCAAAGTCTATGCTCTGGATTAGACCTGAGCCCATCTTTAATATCAGTGGTAGAGGGAGCTCTCTCCCAATTCGCCCCACCTATTCAAATGAATCAGAAAGGTTATCACCTGAGAAAAATAGAAAGAAAAAAACGAGGGAAGAATGCTGTTTTCTAAAAGAGCTTCTCTAGCTCTTCAGTTCAAATCAATTTTTTTAAATGTCTAAATATAGGCAACTATGGAATTACAACCATATTAGCCTCTAATTTCTTATTTTTAAATTGTTAATATGCTCACATGGTTCAAAAAGTTTTTAAAAAAGTATACTTTGAAAAAGCTCCCTTCCACTTTTATCCCCATTTAACCAGTTCCTGTACCTCTACCAGGAAATCATTAGTTTGTTTATTCTTTAGAGATTTTTAAACATACAAGTTCATATATAGTTATTTCCTTCCTTCCTTATTGATATCAGTAGTAACAGACCATACATACTATTTTGCACTTTGCTTTTTTTCACTTGGCAACATATCATGGAAAAATTTCCATATCCGTAAACACTGATCTTTTTCATTCTTTTTTAAAGTATAAAATCCCATTTTGTGGCTGCATCGGACTTCATTCACCCACCTCATACCCTGTTGAAGGACATGTATGTTTTCAATCTACTGCCCATACAAAAAAATACTGCAAAAAAAAAAAGCCTTTGAACAGCTGTTATTTCACATGTGCCTTAGATATAAGCTTATTTATCATTAAGTTAATCAGAGAAATTAGAGGGCAGATGCTAAAGTCTATGCTCTGGATTAGACCTGAGCCCATTTTTAATATTAGTACCAGCGGTAGAAGGAGCTGTCTCCCTATTTGTCCCACCTATTCAAATGAACAGTTTAGTTAGCTTTGCTGTAACATTACCACCGAACCAACCAGCTAAAACAAGCATTTATTTTTTGTTCACAGGTCTGAGGATGGGCTGGTTTGGTGGATGTAGGCAAGGCTCAGTTGAGTGGCCCTACATTAGGCTGCAGAATGAGCTCAAGTCTGTTGCACAAACTTCTCATTTTCCTTGGATCAGCAGCTCTTCTAATGACAAGAGTGCAGGTGCAAGCGAAACCATTTAAGCATTATGAACTATTCATTATATCCTTTGCACAGATTTTTGCTGGTTTCTTTTAAGCTTTTCTTTTAAGGCATCTAGACTTTGTATCAGTTAGTTACACAAGGGTTTTCCCACTGTAAGTTGACTTACAATAATTTTTACATTGAAATTTTTGAGCCACTTATAATGCACTTCTTGGTGTATGATATATGGATCCAACTTAATTTTTTTTCCAAATGGCTATCAATTAATGAATAATGCCTGTATGAACAGCACAAATCTGAAGGACCACCTTTATTGTATTCCAAGTTCTGTATTTGGGACTCTTGCTGGATTTTCTATTCTATTCTACCAGGCTGACAATTCACACAGTTTTAATTACTATGGCATTATAATATGTTTCACAATCTTATAGGGCTAAATTCCACTTTCTGCTCTCTTTTTGGAATTTACCTGGTTACTCTTGTCTGTTTTTATGTTTCCATACATATTTTAAAATCATCTTACCTACTTTAAACATGAAAATGTACTCTTGGTATTTTTTATAGGATTGTGTTAAATCTAGAAATAAACACATAGAGGGCTGACATCCTTGTGAGTTTGAATCTTCCCCATCTAAGTATGCTTCTCCATTTTTTCAAGTATTTGATGTGTCCTTCAAGTCTGATTTAAAGTTTTCTTAGGCCAGGTGTGGTGGCTCATGCTTGTAATCCTAGCACTTTGGGAGGCCAACGTGGGCAGATCACCAGAGGCCAAAAATTCATGGCCAGCCTGGCCAACATGGTGAAACTCCATCTCTACTAAAAATACAAAAATTAGCTGGGTGGGGTGGTACATTCCTATAATCCCAGCTACTTGGGAAGCTGAGGCATGAGAATTGCTTGAACCCAGGACGTGGAGGTTGCCTGAGAGACAGAGTGAGAGCCTGCCTCAAAAAAAAAAAAAAAAATATTTTCTTTACATTAGTCTTGTACAATCTTGGTGGAGTTTCTTTGTTGAGTTTCTTCCTAGGTATTACATCTTTTAAGTTATTATGAATGGAATCTTTGTGTCTATTAAATATTTTAGCTGGCTTTTGTTTATTAATATTTTAACTGGTTATTAATAGCTGTATATTAATTTTATACCCCATTATCTTTCTTAATTTCCTTACTTTGAAAGTTTAAACAGTTTTTATGGAACTCTCATGGGTTTTCCTGCTATACGGTTCTATCAATTGTATAATTTTAATTTTTAAACTGATGCTATAGTAAAAAATTAACCAGATACAGATGCTGATTTCTATGTTAAAGACTTTTATTAGAAAATAATCATTAATAAATAATACTGATTTGTTATTAACAATGAATATTATTACTTTATCCTTTTCTAAAAATGCCTGGTAGTACTTTTTAATCCTGTAAAATAGGAATACATTAAGATTAACATATTTCACCTAATGTAGATGATGAGTTGATGGGTGCGGCAAACCACCATACCACGTGTATACCTATGTAACAAACCTGCACATTCTGTACATGTACCCCAGAACTTAAAGTATAATAATAATAAAAAGACTAACACATTTCATATTTCATGACTTTTCATTACCTTCAGCTCCTGTTTGAGCAGCTCTTTCACTGCCTGCAAGATCAACCAAATTCTGTAAGATAGATAAAAATAAATATTTAGGGCAGATAATTTGCAATAAGAAAACTTGAACTGAAAGAACATTTTTTAATACACGGTATATCTGAATATTCTATCTGTATACATGTCTCCATGCTACTGTTTAGGCATTACCTTTCTTCTCTGAGTCAAACTGCTCTTATCTGTTCTTTTCTTTGTATCTTCCATAACGCTGCCAGTATAGGTTCTGTTTCCCACACAAAGTCCAAAAATTTAGTATGGCAAATATAATTCTTTATAAGCTGTCACTTGCATTGCTCCAACTTTATATCTATTCATCCCTTATTATTACCTCTAGCTGAACTATCCACTATTCCCCAAACACCCCATGTACTTCTACACCTCCAAGCACCAGCTTTTTGCTGTTTCCTTTATTCAGTTAGTTCTAATGTTCTAGTCTGTCCTTATTCTTTATTTAAGAGCCAGGCACAAAGATTACCTGCTCAATGTAGGTTTGCCTACTTTATCCTTCCTCCCCTCTGGATCTCCGATGAACTGCTCCTTGAACTGCATTACCAGAACCTTTTACAAACATAACTTAAAGATACAACTTAAATTTATAGCACTGATTTTGTTGGGCTAGTCATCTATGCTAGCTGTACTATGCTGTAGCAATACCATGACTTTACTGTAGCATCTTTAAGAGCTGGACCTCTCTTTCATTTCACACATATTATTGAAAAGAAGTGACTACTTATCATGCTCCAGGCAGTGTATTAGGTGCTAGGGCTACAAATAAATAAAGTCTCTGCTCTTATGGAGCTTACAATCTACATAGAGGAGGCTGGTGAGAAGAGATAAAAAGACAAGAAACATGTTGTGATAAGTGTAACAGAGACTACCTAAAAATAGAGCTGGAATAGGGACTAGCAGGTTCACTGGATTGGATGGCAGTGGAAGGCTTGTCATTAAGCTGAGATCTAAATGACAAGAGAAGAGGAAGCTGGTCCCAAACAGATCAAGGGAAACAGCAGCCCAGACAAAAAGAATAGCCAAAAACACTGTCACAAAGCAGAACGTGCTCAGTGTGTTCAAAAAAATAGAAAAGGCAGTGTGACACAATTGGTGAAGTGAAGACAGTAAAAGACAGAATAAGAGCAGCAGACAGGGGCCAGATAACATAGGACTTTTAAAGTAAGATCAAGAACTCTGAAATGTCTAAATTAAATGAGAAGCCATTGCAGGGCTTTACACAAGGGAGTAATACAGCCCTGCATACAGCCCTGCAATGGCTCCCACAATGGATCCACTATGACTACTGGGTGGAGGATGGATTGGGAAGGGGCAAAAGCAACAGTAGGCAGCCCCATCAGGCGGCTGGGGCAGGAATCAGTGACAGATAATACCAGCTTGGGTTAGGGAGATGATAGGGGAGATTGTTTATAAAGTAAGCAGTGGAGAGATTTCTTTTTTTTTTTTTTTTTAATCTCAGAGCCCAACACCATGCTCAGAATACCATAAAGGTTTAGTAAACATTGTGAGTAAATTAAAAGAAAGTCAAAGCTTTAAGTTATTTCTCTCTGTGGAGGTTTCTGAGACTAGGCAGGTAAATATGTATTACTGGTTTAAGGAGTCTAATTTTTCTTGCACAGTGTCCACTACAGATGACATAGATACATAATAAAAAGGCAAAGTGTTAATGAAGGCAGCATGAGTGAAGGTTAAAGATGAGAATAAACATTCATATTCAAAGATATTCAGAGGCCCAATCTATGAGGGAGGAGTTCATGTGGAGCAGAAGGAAATAAAGTTAGATTGGTTAAGAGTGGCCAAATCTTGTCCCAGGAAGTGATACTACAAATGCAGTGGTTAGTATATTAGAAATCCATATGATGACTTCAAGACACAAAGACAAGAGTCATGGAGACCAGGTTCCAGGAGACTGATGTAGTCATTTAAGAGAGATGAGAAAGTAAATGAGTGTAACACCCAGGGGAATGTTCAAAGGTAGGATCAATAGGAAATGGGACAACTGGACAGAGAAAGGCAGAAAAAGTTGAGTCAAAATTGACTTGGGTGTCCAGCTTAGGCAGCTAGAATAATGCCGATTTTACTGGAAATAAGGAGTATTCACTATGGTCAGAAGAAAATAGTTTGGTTTTAGACATATTAATGTTTCAGATAATGATGGGACACAGTTATAACCATCTTTAGGAAGACATGAATTAAAATTCAGAGGCTAGATAAATATTTGGCAGTCATCAACATGAAAATGATGATAGGATGTTTGAGAGTAAGAACTTAAGAAAGGCCACAGGATACCTCCAAATTTTTTATTTTTATTTTTTTAGGAGGGTAAGGAAAAAGCTGCCAGGGTAGAAAACAGGGACGTAGAGTTAAGAGAACCTGGATATTATCATCTCACCAAGGCCAAGAGATAATCAGAGAAGAGCCACTTCTAAAGAGCCAGAGATGACTCGTTAGGGCAGACTTCTTTCCAAGAAGATTCTTAGAGTAAGTGGGTAGGCTGGAAGTTTGGAACAGATGGACCATGGATAAGCAGAGCATCAAGAAACATGAGGAAAATCATCAAGTAGATCACTGAATATTCCAAGAGTATTAAAACTCAATTATTAAATTAAAATTATATGAAATATCACAGTCTTGGGTGAGAAAACAAAACAGGTTAGGTTTTGGTTTTTTATTGTTAAAACAAGATTAAGATCTACTACAGTAAGTTATACCATTTTATAGAAAAATGGCTAAGGTGAAATTTGGATCGAATATTAATTAATAATCTAATTTTATAAAATCTAAAAATGAATAAACATATAGATTGCTTGTTTCCCTGAAGTTTTCTAATCAAATAATTTTAAATCATATCCCACATCAAGCTAAAGAATTTAGGCCCTAAAGATGTGGAATAAACCAATATGGTAAATGACAGAAAAGGAGCAAGAAAGAGACAGTAATAATTTAGTGTGGCAAAAAGGAAGTGGGAGGTTTACTTATGTGGAATATAGGAATGTTGCATAATGCTTATATTCACTTATTTAATAAATATTAGATATAAAATAAGTACAATGTGTTGGGGCTACAAGGATGAATGCAGTATCACTCCTCAATGGATTTACAGTCTAAAATACTACATTTATAATACAAAATATATTTTCTTATTTTACTTAGGTAAAACTAAAATAATGTGATTACTTTTTAACCATCCCACCTAGATTTCTGTTCATCACATAAGTCTAAGTTATATTGGCTGAGATTTTTTTTAAAAAACCCTCAAATTCCAAGATGACTTAAATTGTTAAATGTATAATAGAAAAAATCCTATTTCATTAGTGGTTAGAAAAAAACATCAATTCCTATAGCCCTGACACTTAAATTTAGATAGCAGCCATGATATAACAGGAAGAAGAACCTTCGAATTTGTCGTACAACATTTCAGCTAGGAATTTGGTGATACTTAGTCTTGTCAGACTAAGCAGACCATTTGTAGATCTCCTTTCACATTTAGTTCAGTTAACAGTTCTTATTAAACCAAACATCCAGCAGCTACATTAAATTTTGTTTTGGCCCATACAGTACATTATTGTGGTTCACTAATACTCACCAAATGGGATACCTTAACAGATCCATCACAATTAGAAGGTTCACCCTTTTCTCTACTTTCCAAAATCTAGATAGAAAAGGTAAGTTGTAGAAAAATTAGTGCGTTCTTACTTGGAAAGATCTAATAGAAAGAGAGAATTACCTACCATCCTAAAGATGGTATGAGAACGACTGCTTCTTTGATTCATTTTTGTTTCTCCATAATGTCTGTTCTCTGTAAAAATGAGTTACATTTCAGCTGCATATATATTAAAATCCAAAAAAAACAATAATTTTTATTTTAACTTAAAAAAGTTGTGATTTGAAGCCTAAATACACTTGATTGAAAAGATAGTTTCTTTTAAAACAAGTGTTTTAAAGAAATACAGTATAAAGTCTTACTTTCTCCCTTTGTAATCCATTTCAAAACCATTTCTGATGTATACACAACTTCTTCTGTGAGATCAGCAACATACACATTCCTCTGAAACAAGTTTAATTATGGAAAGATTAGAGAAATAGAAGTCACAAGTTTGCTTTTCAAAAGAGGGTACAAACTATTATAGAATTCATTTGTGAAAGTTAAAAGTGGAAAATGGGCCGGGCGCGGTGGCTCACGCCTGTAATCCCAGCACTTTGGGAGGCCGAGGCGGGTGGATCACGAGGTCAAGAGATCGAGACCATCCTGGTCAACATGGTGAAACCCCGTCACTACTAAAAATACAAAAATTAGCTGGGCATGGTGGCGTGTGCCTGTAATCCCAGCTACTCAGGAGGCTGAGGCAGGAGAATTGCCTGAACCCAGGAGGCGGAGGTTGCGGTGAGCCGAGATTGCGCCATTGCACTCCAGCCTGGGTAACAAGAGCGAAACTCCGTCTCAAAAAAAAAAAAAAAAAAAAAAAAAAAAAAAAAAAAAAAAAAAAAAAAAAAAAAAAAAAAAAAAAAAAAAACAGTGGAAAATGGAACCATAATTCTGTAGTAATATAACTAGTAATTCTATGAATACCCACAATGTATTTCATATATCAAAGCACACCAAATTGTAACCTGATACTCCCATCTTGCTATTTTTACACTTAAACTAAAATATTAGAGCTATATTTTAAAACTATACATATTGTTTAAAAGATGAATCTCTACAAATACTTCAAAAAACCCCCCACATACTATAGAAATAGGAGACACTTTAAAAACTATAGAAATTAAAGGTAGACATTCAAGAACAATAATCCCAATAAGTAAGCCAATTTTAAAGCCCCCTTAAGTCTGCTACTCACATTGACATCTTCTCGAATAATTAAAGGCTTCATTTTGTTAGTGCCGCAGAGTAAATCTGTAATGGTTTCATTGTATATTTCCATGTAAGATACACGTAAGAGAAATTCCCTATCAGGAAACTAGGAGAAAAAAGTTATGTAAAAACACAGGAAGCAACCAATTGTGAAAAGCTAATACTAAATGCTCACCTGCTTAAAGAGGTTAAAAAAAAAAAGTCTGTAAAATAAACTAAGAAAACCCTTGGTTCTAATGTTGACAAAATAATAAACACAAAAATATAAAATAATTAAAAGTACCATAAAGCTAGGAGAACACCAACTCTCTAGGCTCAAAATAAAACCCCATCAAAAGATGTTCTTATTTTAATAAAAATGTTAATTTAAAACCAACTCTTAACTAATTAGGTTGCCTATTCTGGCTTTCTGCTTCCCTTCTGTTTTTTTTAACCTATATCTACTTTTTACTGTTCCTTTATAATCACTGATAGTTAAATGGTTAGGTGGAGCTAACCATTCTGATAAAATTTTCTTGTTCCTTAATGCCTACTTTTTGTTGAGAGTATTACTGTTGCAGAATTCAAGGGAAAGAATACAAGAACTTGAAGCTTTATAAAGTAAGTTGTGGGGATAAAAGTGAATCTATGCTATGCCCTTCTTCTTTCTCCATCGATAATCAAACAATAACTATAAATCTACTTCCTTTCATCTTTACAAGATAAATAAACTGACTGGTACCCAGTTATTACTACTTTGACCTGTATGTACTAAAAATCCAGTTAAGTTACTTACCTTCTTAATTTTTTGGAAAATATCATGAATCGCCCTGGGTATAACTCCCAAATGATCTTCTGAACCCATCATAGTATACGTTTTTCCTGAAGCAGTCTGCCCATAGGCAAATATGGTACCTGCAAAAACCAAAACACACATATGCAAAGATTAAAAACAAATCTATAATGAGTAAAACAATGCATACTTATTGAACAGATAACCAACACCAAAGTGTTTCTCCAGCATCGAGTGAATACAAACCATTGTAGCCTTGTATGGCAGAATCGATGATTGGTGCTGCTATTTCTTCATACACATTTTTGGTAGTTTCATTACTATGAAAGACACGATCTAAACAACAACAACAACAACAACACAGAAGTTAAACCAAATGAATCAACTGTGTTTTCATTCCGAATTAGCAGTTATTCCCAAAAGTAAAATCGTCAGAATGTAGAATGATCAAATATAAGACACAGTATTTTAATTTTTTGGTTCTCTGAAAATATCCTTCCCTAAGGCAAAATGAGTTCATCTTGAAACACAAAAATTACGCTATAAGTCAACTTTTCTATTTCTTTCAAGAGGCATAGTGTTTGCACATGGGGGTCTGGAATCTATCTAGATGCAAATTAGACAACTGTGATTATAACTTTTAAATACTAATTGGTTATCTCACTTAAATACATGGTGGATAAACAACTTTGTTTCCAGTGAAGCAGTTTATAGAAGGTTTAGTCTAATCTATAGTGAGAAACCTGATATTATTGACAAGCCTTTTGTACTTTTAATAGCAAAAGGATAACAAGCTAACTTTTGATGCTATTATAAGCTTACCAAAATTGAAGGATTTACTTCCATCAACTTGATAAATGGCATTATTGTCAGTTTTCCAGTAAATCTGGGCAGTTTCTCCAAGTGATTCTTCTCTAAAATAATAAAAACACTGCATTTTAACCAGTCATAGAAGTCATGTCATAGGAGGGATAATTTAAAAGATTTCATCTTCTAAAGAATATTTTGAAAGATAGTAATATGAAAATGACAGAAAGTCCATCTTTGAGGATTCAACACTCTCAAATGGAGCTTCAGTGGCCTGCCTTCTCATGTGTTTTCTTGTGAAGGCTTTCATTCTCACCGTCTCCCCGAGTACTGGTAAATGAATGGATCGATTCAAAATGCAACTCTGATTATGTCTGTCTTGCTTAAAATTCTTAAAACCTTTTGGAAACTTATGAAATCCTCAGCTTGGTACACGAGTCCTAGATCATTTCATTTCTCTCTTCATTTTCCTCTGAATTCCTAGATGCATCCTAAGCTCCACCTGAAGGTCTTCCCTAAATGACAGATGTAACCTCTGTGTGCCTGGAATAGTGACTTTCCTTTCCATAAAGTAACACAGCCATTATTTCACTCATGAAAACCGTCAAGACTTTGCTGACACCAGTTCACCCCACGGAAGCGGTCATCTCTCTGATGGGCTAATGACTCCTCTAGCAAACACTCTCCACCTGCCCATGATAACACTTGTCACAAGGTATCCTAATGGTTTCTTTATGCAGCGGTTGAAGGCATTAGATAATGAGTTCCTCAAAACATAGGAAATTCCTGATCTTGGTATTTGCATTTATTAATCCCCATGTTAAAGAAAAATTTCTCACACATGCAAATTGTTAGCATTTTGGGTCGAGGGCCAGAAGCTAGCGAAGCAAACCGACTTCATTTACTCCTTTTCCTGCTTTTTCTCCACAGCGTTTATTACTTACATGTCACCATTTAACATCCTACATTTTAAACTTTATTTTCTGCCTCGCCCCATTAGAATGGAAGATCCACTGGGCAATGACGGGAGTGTCTGTGTAGTACAGGACAAAGTACTAAAAAACAATATTGATAAATATTTGTAGAATGAAGTCTTGAGTGACGACTGAACGCAATGTGACAGACCGACTAGTCCTCGTCCTCAGGGAGTCTGGAGACAGCAGTTACATGTAAAATGACTAAGTGTGACGAGGGCCAGGAAGGCACAGTCCCTACGACTTCTCCAGGGTGGGGAATGGGGCAGGGAGGAGCAGATGAGGCGAGGCAGAGCAGCGCAGAGGGGAAGGTCGTTAAGGTCAAGGAGACTGAGTTAAATTTAAGTGCACGTCGCAGCGGGGAAGTATCTTCTAGATCTCTGATCCTCCCCTGTCACTTTAAAGACGTAGAAATCATGGCCAGAAGCCGAGTTACTAGACAGCAGAGCCGGGAAGCAGCGGCTCCTAAAAACGCCGCAGGCTTCGCCTCTACGGCTCAAGGCGGCACTGCAGGCCCAGTGGGCACTGGGCTGTGGTGTGGCCCCCTTACCTGCTGTTCAGCGGCCGCACTCGCACGCAGACGGCCACAGCTCCTTCCTCCGCCATCCTGTCAAGCTGAAGAGGTCCCAAGAAAATGGCCAAGACCCTCCGCGGCCAGCGATTCAGGGCTCACGGGCCGCCCCGCCTTTAAATTTAAAATTTCCCAAACGCCGCATCTGATTGAGCCGTGGCCTCATGACGTCATGGGCCGTTCCACCTGCGGGGCGGCGCGGGGGACGCGAGGCGGGCGGCGCGACCACCGCTAAACAGGAGAAGGGGATTTAAAGGGCCCGTTGAGAGCCGGAGGAGGAAGTGGCTTGGAGGGGCTCCTGGGAATGGGTGGAGAGCGGTGGTCCTCGAATACCAGAATACATCTGTCAAAAGCTAGCGAACGTCATCCTCCGCCCCATTCTTAAAGCGTTTGCAACCTGTAGATGAAACTAGGTAGAGACACATGTATTTTTCGCTACCAAAACAGAATTGCAGTCCTTTAAGGAAACTGCACCAACAGTTTAAAATAAACTTCAAACATCAAGAGTTGAAACTCACTGTCCAGTCCAGAAACGTGACAAGCCTGTTGTGCGCCTTAGAAAATCTGCTTAGGCCTTTCTTTCTTTTTTCTTTCTCGCTCTCTTTCTTTCTTTCTCCTTCTCTCTCTCTGTCTCTTTCTCTCCCTCCCTCCCTCTCTCTCTCTCTTTCTTTTCTTTCTCTTTCTTCCTTTCTCTCTTTCTCTCTCTCTTTCTTTCTCTTTCTCTTTCTTTCTTTTCTGCAACTCCTTTCCATTAGCTGTGGCTTCCTAATACGTTGAATTAGGGAAAAGAATTACTGAGGACTCTGAGGACTGAAAAACTTATTGAGTAATGGGTCGATACTTTTTTTTTTTTTTTTTTGAAGGCGGAGTCTCTGTTGCCCAGGCTGGAGGGTAGTCTTGTTATCTGGGCTCACTGCAACCTTTACCTCCTGCTTTCAATCGATTCTCCTGCCTCAACCTCCGGGGATTACAGGTGCCCACCACCACTCTCAGCTAATTTTTGTATTTTTAGTACAGACGGGGCTTTGCCATGTTGTCCAGGCTGATCTCAAACTCTTGACCTCAGGTGATCTGCCTGCTTTGGCTCCCAAAGTGCTGGGATTACAGTTGTGAGCCACCGCTCCTGGCCTGGGTTGTTACTTTTATTAACTGAAAGGGAAAGCTATTCTAAATACGGTATTTTTTTTTCCCCTGCAAAATAATTCTTACTTTCCCTTTGTGTCTCTCTCTCTATATTTTTTCATTTTTAAATAGAGATGGGGTCTTGCTCTGTCACCTAGGCTAGAGTGCAGTGGCCTGAACACAGCTCACTGCAGGCTCAACTCCTGGGCTCAGCCCAGGAGGGGTTCCTGCCTTAGCCTCCTGAATAGCTTGGACTAAGGCACATCATCAGCTCAGATAATTTTTAAATTTTTTTTGTAGAGATCCAGTGGGGGAAATTGGGGTAGGGAGTTGTATCTCACCATGTTGCCCAGGCAGGTCTTGAACTCCTAGGCTCAAGTGATCCTCCTGCCTCAGCCTCCCAAAGTGCTGGCATTACAGGTGTGAGCCACCCTGCTCAATTATTATGTGCCAGATATGGTTCCAGGCTCAGGAAGCACAACAGTCAACAGAATAGACAAAGCACCTGTTGTTATTCTCTTAGGAGAGTGGGTAATACAGGAAAATCTCAATCTCTCTCTCTCTCCAAACACACACACACACACACACACACACACACACACACACCCATAATGTGATGATGTGATAGACATCACAGAGTGAGTGATAAGGTGGGATAGCAATCAGAGAGTGACAAGGTGGGATAGGAGTGCTAGTTTCTTATGAAACATATTCTTGTGGGAAGCAGTACACAATACATAATAAATATATAGTAAAATAACATGTTGGGAGGAAGGTTTGCTTTGGACGTTCAAGAAAGACCGGAGGACGTGACTTTTGAAGTGAGACCTTTATGATAAGAATGAGCCAGACTTGGGATCAAAAGAAAGGTGCGCAGCAGACAGAGGAACAGGTAAGTCAAAGAATCCAAGGCTTGATTGAGTTCGTCATCTATCTGATACACAAAGGGGAAGGCCCTGTGACTGAAGCATTTATGACAATGGAGAGAGGTAGGCAGGTCCAGGTCCAGGCCCATGGGGTCTTTAGGGCTGTGATAAAATGTTTGGATCTTTTTCTCAAGGGTGAGGGGAAGCCTATAGAGAATTTTAAGATTAGAAGTAAAAAGGGATTCATTCCTTCAAACAAGACGTTCTTTACTTAGAGAGATCCAAGATGGCTGATCACTAGCAGCTCGGGATTGCAGCTCCCACTGAAAGAGCAGAGAACGAGAGGACGCCACACTTTCAGATCAATTTTTGTTGCTCACACACCAGGAGATTCCCAGCGGAGGAGCCCCACGTGTC